TCATTTCAAAAGAGCCGTTGTTACCTCAGGAACTTGGATCTTCTACGCCCATAAATTATACAATGACGGAAAAGCTGGTCTAGCTGACTACAAGGTTCTCCAACCCGGAGCAAATGAAGACATCTCATGTGTGAATGGCTCCATGTATCTCCTTGAAGACCAAGTGGAAGGAATCATTCTGTTCGAGCACAGTAACTACGGCGGAGAAAGGAAGGTAATGAGAACCTGTAAACTTTTCAATGATCATTATAATAGCTCACGCTTTCAGTTGTATAACGATTCCCGCCGGTAGCTCCGCCTCGCCCCCTATCTGTTAGATCTCTCTTCGCAGGTGGTGAGCGAATATTTTAGGGAATTTAAAAAATCCATAGTAAATAAGGACTTCAGCAAATTCAAAACTCTTCTTAAAGGGCACTCATGAAAGTGAGATTGTTTGTTTCCGAAAACAAACCTTTAAAGGTTAGATTTTAGATTAAAATAAGTACCTCATGAAAGTTGCTCTTCATTTTATCTGAGTGCTATCCTATCCTTTTCAAAATTTTCATGCAGTGGTTTGAAGAAAGTTGCTCAGATGTGAACCCCTATTTCCAAAGCGGGAGAAGCGCAGGGGTTTCCTCAGCCATCGTGTTATCCAAGAACCAGCAATTTGCCATCTTCGCCAGTTCCAACTATAAGGGTCTGCAACAGCAACTTGATGGAGGCAAGTGGTATGTGAATCCAAACGCCATGAAATTCCCCAACGATCAACTGCAGAGCTTCCGCAAGATATGAGATAACCAATCTGACAGGCTCTATGCTTTCATTTCTTAGAAAATTTTTCTCTTTTTTCTTTTGTTTATTCTTTGCTTGTTTCTTGTTTTGGCCTCATTGCTAACCTTTGAGTGCTGAAGATTTTGTAAAACAAAACTTTTCAGTTCAGCATAGTACTTTGAATCATTGATACGATTTAAATAAAAGAAGCTTGTTGTTAAGTTAAGGTTGGCATTTTTCTTTCGAGCACAGTAAAAAGAAAAAGTAAGTAAAAAGAAAAGTAAGTAAAAAGAAAAGCTCAATACTTTTCATACTGCAAGGACATACGTTAAGACATCTAAAATATTTGCAAAAGGATGATTTCAAATTGGCAAGAGGGATGTAGAAATACATCCAAAAATGGTTGCCCGTAGCTTCAGGTGGATTTCCTATGGAAATAAAAATTGATGTAATCTTGGGTAAGGTACAGTTTTTTTTTTTTTCGCCCACAAAGACCATTCTTTGGATTACTGGCACTACAAGCTCTACAATTGCTTTTGTAGAAACCTCTTACCTCAATATAATTATTTCGATTTTTATTTTTATGACATGTTTTCATACTGTACCTTCCGCGTTGTTATCCCTTAGCCACCCATTATCTACCTGATCTGCCTCTGTGCCCTGCTCAAGGAAAGGCAAGTTCTGATCTGAAACGGAAATATCTTCAATTTCAATGCTTTTCGTACCGCAGGGGTATACGTGAGGACATCTAAGATATTTGCAAAAGGGTGATTTTAAATTGGCAAGAGGAATGTAGAAATACATCCAAAAGATGGTTTCCTCTGGCTTCATGTGGACTTCGTAAAACTGGACATAGTCTTCGAAACATCGATTGTTTTTATTGTCAGAACTCAACAAAGTTCTGAGGTAAAACGCCAGGATTTGATTCTCTCTTTTCTTCTTTGTACTTTGATAAATAAAGCACGTTGCTTCACCCAATCAGAACACTCGTAAGATCGAGTCCTAATCAACATGATCAAAATGTAAAATTTATTCGATATTTGGACATCTAGCTACAGCAACTGCTCCTCAGGCTTGACAGCTTCACCAATGATTGGGCCTTTTTGCTAACTTCAATTGTCTTTTGGGTTTCGTTATTATACCTCGCGCCGGTTTCGCAGTTTGAGCTTGAATATCCTGCGGCTTTTTTTTCAGTGTCACGATGAAATTAAATCATACTCAAAGATCTTTTAATAATCTATTCTATTAAACTGTTTAGGAATGTAGCTAGAAGTTGAAATCTTTTGGCTGGATAAAGGAATGCCACAAAAGTAAAAGTTTCAAGGATAACCTGTCGGATAAATACATCACACATCTAACGGATTTCTCTGTCTGGCTAGGTAATAGAAAGAAGGATGTAGGGGTTCCTTTGGTTCAATACGGCTATCAAGCTGCCTGCAGATAAAATATTTTACTAAAACCGGCTATAAATCAGTGAATCTGGGTGAGTCTATTCTTACAGAATGCAGTCATCTTCAGCACGAAATCAGATAGAAAGAAAGGTTAGGTAAGTATGTTCCTTAGAGTTTCGGAAGTTTGTTTTCGTTGATGGCGAGGCAAATCTGATTACTTATGCCATCTGAAATGGTTTTGCTCAACCGTGAATTAAAATATATATATATATATATATATATTATGAGAGGAAAAAAAGGACGTAACTACATTTCCCGACAAGCCTGTTTCGTGAATCGCTTCACTCTTCAGGGGTTTAAACCCCTGAAGAGTGAAGCGGTTTAAACCCCTGAAGAGTGAAGCGATTCACGAAACAGGCTTGTCGGGAAATGTAGTTACGTCCTTTTTTTCCTCTCATAATATTTATTCTGCTCTGCTTCAACGTATTGAGCACTGTTCCACGCGAAAATCGACTTGCAGACTTCCTATATATATATATATATATATAATTGTGGGGAATTGTAGCAAATGCTGTTGGAAAGTGCTCACAAATGAGTGTAGAGCGAAATACAGTTCAAAATGACTGTCGACTCTGAGTGTTGTGCTGTACGCACTCATCAGACATCAGAAATATGTCTGAGTGCGTAAGCACGGAACTCAGAATTACAGGGAATCATGCGTGTTTCATTTTATTCATTTTGAAATATATATATATATATATAGTATATATATAGTATATATATAGTATATATATATATATATATAGTATATATATATAGTATATATATCCCTGTCCCTGGACAGGGAAGGGAATCGTGCGTGTTTCATTTTAGTCATTTTGACCTGTATTTCGCCCTTGGTGTACACTCATGTGTATTGAGCACTTTCCAAGAGCATTTGCTACAATTTCCAACAAATATATATGTATATATTGTTACCCTATCTCACATTCTCTAAAAACCGATTTAAGACAGAACATTTCTAGCTTCAAAATTCCTAAAAACAAGGTGTAGAAATAACTTTTAAATTGATTTTACGTCAGTTCGTTCGAAGGCTGTGACTCAACGCTAGCATGAACACAGGGGTATTAAGTTATTTCTGAGCACACAGTAAAAACTTGCAGTATATGATTAGTTCCTTTAAGCCCTCAACAAATTTGAAGTCTTAGTAAGACTTCTTAAAGAAACAGTAAATTAGGAAAGAGCTTTTGAAGTTAAAGAAAAGGCCTTTACAGTAACTGAGACATTTGATTTTCAGATGAATACAACTGAGTTTTGAACTCATTCTGGTCATGTCTTCGACTTCTGTTTAAGCTTTAAGCGTTTCACTTAATTCAAACATTCTGTGACGTGAATCTTCTTTTATGAAGAGGGTAAAATATTTTCAAACACGGACAAATTTCTGAATGTTCAGCGTAAGACTCGACGATAAAAAATGAAGAGCTCGAGTCGCCATAACATGTGCAGAATTCGTTGTTAACAACGATGGTCCAAGTTCAATTTTCTAAGCTAGTTGGGTCAAATATTCAGTCCTTCTTGTCCAATACTAGAAACATAGTATTTAAACTATGTTTGAAATGATTTGATTTATGTTGAAACTGGTTAATAAAAGTCTTGGTTTTATAATTGAAGTTTTGCTTTGAAAATCAAAGGTCGTACGGGTGGAAGGCTTTCGAAAATGAAGCCGCGGTTTTACACAGTGTTTTAATTGCTCGTCTACTTTGCCAATATTTTAGTGTTAATTGTCTTTGAATATAGACGAAAGCTAAAGCATGTTGTTTACCAATCTAGGGCGATATTTCAAGGAACAAGAGCACCTTTTCTGTGCAGGTTCAGTCGACTGTACTATCAGCCGGCTCTTAGTGAAAGTGTAAATTGAGTTGAAGCACAGTACTTCCTTCCTTCCTTCCTCCCTCCCTTCCTCCCTTCCTCCCTTCCTTCCTTCCTCCCTTCCTTCCTTCCTGCCTTCCTTCCTTCCTTCCTTCCTTCCTTCCTTCCTCCCTTCCTCCCTTCCTTCCTTCCTTCCTCCCTCCCTTCCTTCCTTCCAAAGGAAGGAAGTCATCATAGTGAATAAATGTTGGTTTTACTTACTGATTAAAGCTGCTCAACTGTAAGTTATCGATTCAACTGGCGGCTTTCGTTGAAAATGAGTCGGTGCCGTGAAGCTTATGGCGAGCGAGCCACCTTGCTGGAATTCGAAGGAAAATCAAACGGCTTGTGCCGTAAGATGTGCCCAAAAGAGAACCTCGAAAGCGATGATATTTTAAGAAATCTCTCGCTATCCATCGAAAATTATCGACGCGTAACATAGCCTGGGAAGATAACGGTGTTCATGCAGTGCAAGAAAAGTTTCATGGGTGGTTTTTAAAAGCCGCCATCTTTAATGCGTCGTGCAACATATGTTTTAGTAAAATTTAAATTGAAGAGCTGTGGTTTATCTAGAAATTTCTTTCTCTTGATGATATCCCAGATTGGAGACGCGAACTAAGAAAGATAAACCATCGAGATAGAGCTGTATAAAAGTTAGTATTTCGATCGCATTGAGAAGAGGGAAGTTTCTCTATCTTACAGAAGTCTTGTTTCTCTTTCAATTTTCCGACTCGTCTCACTCAGCATGAACTGAGAAGAGTCACCAATAGAGACATTTCCTTTGAGTAACACTCTAAAGAAAGGGATCGCTGTTGTATATTTAGCATTACTGTATGTGTAATGGGTGCTCCCAATGCGTTCAAAGAAAACATGGCGAAGCATGATGTATTTGCAAACTTGAAATCATACTGAGGCTGAAAAACTACGACTATGCTTCAGAGTCAACTGTTGTCTTAGGGTCTACTCAGCACTCCCTTTTTTGAGACGGTAGATGGTTTTTATATTTGGGCCCATCTCTCTAGATAGCCAGTTTGTATACTTTTAAAAAACGTTGATTAAAGATATCTCAGCATGTTTCACCCACCACATGTAAATCAATTCAAAAGTTGCGATTCAAAGATTTTCCACCGTACCACGAAGACCCATAGGTTAGATGCAAATAACACAATTCCTGACACTATATCCCTTATCAGGCCTTTTTAAAGGTGTCAGTGAAAGTGGAGTGTCACAGTTACCTCGAGGTTCTGGATGAAATCGTTGCTTTGATTTACCAAAGCACCACAAGACCGCCCGCCATAAAGGGCACAATGTTCTATTTAGAACAATTATCAGGATGTAGGCTATGGAAGGCATAACTCTTAGCTGTGTAGGACTTTTGTTCCCCTTCCTGGAGCCTCTTATGTTCGCGCAAAGAGAATTGAAAAAAAAAAAGTGCTTCGTGTGCAGATTCTGATAAAGCGCTGCCTTGGGAAGCTTACATACCAGACAAGGGCGGTGGCGGCGCCTTTAATTTCCATGACGACTATTGTTACACACATCTAACCTCAGTCGTACTTTTTGATTCGCTTTGTATATATGTGGAGTGTAAAATTTGCATACATGCTGCATAAAACTTAACACGTGCTAAATGATAAGTCGCGACACTTAAAGCGCTATGTCTCCCCTATGATATCTACATTTCATGCTATTCTCACAGAACTTTTCCATACCCAAGGCGGATATTTTATCACACTATCTTCGCCTAATAGCACGATCCAATAATTTATGGTACCCAGATAAAACTGGAATAATTTTCCTGATTTCTGCAACGACTATGTTGGAACTTGGGTATGTAAAACTCATTCAAATCGTAAATCTTATCCTCGATTCAGTTCACACAATCAATATACCAACATGGCGGACGTTTAAATATGGCACGGGGTTGTGACGTCACCCACAAATCAAGAGGGGGGAGTGAGGGATAGAGGGGAAGGGAGGGAGGAGGGGGTGAACCAAAAATACTGTACTTAAAGATAAAATTTAAAGATAACTACTCTGGTATATTAGCTTATAACCATAAGCACTAATAGATCGATTCTGTGGGATTCCTACTTAAAAGAATCGATCTATGGGGAGAAACAGGGATTCGATTGCCAATTATAGAATCTCCTAATTTTAAATAAAATCTCTCTGTCATTAATTACCTTAAGAAATATATGGAGCGAGGTATGGAGAATATGCACGCCGATGTAAGGGTGACAAGGGTAAAGGGTAACCAACTCAGTTCAAGTTATTAAATTGAAAAAAATCAGTGTATGATGTCAGCAGGACATGTAGCCATAGCAACACCAATGACAATGCATTTTCAGCATAAACTGTTTTCCTGGTTTAATCATATCGTCTTTTCATTCGCTATAGGAGCTTAAGCAACCTGTGGTTTGTTTTAGTGTTGTGTTGAAAACGTAACGATTCATTGTTTCAATCACATTTTCTGCAACTCTTAAATATTAGCAGTTCGGAGAGACATGGGGGTTATACAGTGCCTTGCTTAATTTGAAGGAGAGACTGCAAGAAGTGTGGCCGGACACTTTCAGGCAAAATTCCGAGATTTATACGTCAAAATACCGAAGAGAATACGAAGAAAAGGAGAGAGGAATTATTGTTCTCTTAAGTTAAAGATGGCGATCTCTCTATGAACTTGTACTGCAACATTTTCTTGATAAGATGTAAGTGAAAGACATTTATCTGTTCTTAAAGATTTAAAATAAATGAAAAGAAAGGCCATGCAGGCGTAAGTCGATTGTAGAATTCCCAGGCCATCCCTTGAATAATTTGTATGCATAGTTGCGGCGCTACTGAGTAAGGAAATCCGGTTGTCTAAGCCACCTGTAAGACATTTTCTGACTCGATGTTAGCTTAGTTCTGTTTTTCAAGACTGAAGGGTTGCAGCTATCGCTTTAACCAACTCAGTTACATCTGATTTTCGATGATTACAGATCACCACATCATATTTTATCTTGCTGCATAATGACAGATTTTCTTGTACGTTCCTCAGCCTTAGTCGGGACTCGGTTCTGAAATGTTTCTATTTATTAAAAGTAAAAGAGGATCCCATGCCTGAGACAGCGTGAAAGATTCACCATTGAAACCATTGTGAGTTTGAATCGTACAAAATGGGGTAAAGTTTAGCTCTTTATACGCTGATGATATTTCGACCTGATTGAAAAGTTTACGGAAATAATAATTGTCTCTGGTCTAAGACTGAGATCAGCGAGCTCCTTTTTAGCGCTCTAGTTAACCTAACTTAGTCGTGTAAAAAAAAAATATCACAGCCATCTGTAATTTTGGGTACATGTGTTTTTTAAGACTTGTGGTAACGTTGTGAAAACATCAAGATTATCGGTAACGCTTACGACTATGATCTATCTGTTCTGTTAGGTCGTATCGGTAGATTAATCCACTAAAGCAATATTAACATTAGCAAGGACTCATTCGAGTATACAAAGTCTCGCTCGCAAGTACAAGCGTGACTAACGTGATACAGTCGCGGGTGGGTAGAGCTACCTCAAAACATTATTTCTGACGAGGACGAATTTGTCTTCATTCCTTCCGGTTCAATTGTACGGTAGAAGAACGCATAGGAATCACTTCAATAACACAGGCATCAAGTTCAAACACACAGTACGCTACGAAAGTACTTTACTTCATCTTAAAATAGCCATGGCAAGATGAATTAGGTGATATTTGCTTGAAATTCTACTTTCTCTGACTTCTGTTGATTGAGGACTTGATTAACAAAAATTATGTCACAATTTTTCCAAATACGCACACCCAATACAACCACATCCATAACACAAGATCCGCATAACTCATATTTATAAACACTGTTTGTGGCAGCAAGTAACCAAAACAAGAGAAGATGCACTTCATCCTCCCTTAACCACACAATAAATTTGATGTGCGGGTAATTTTGACTGATTTTCCAGGCAACGAAAACATACGGGAATGGTCTTTTTTTTTTTTTTTTTTTTTTCACGATTTCTTGAAGAAACTTGTCAGCGAAGATTGTTTGGCGGGTTTGTTCTTCATATCTACACAGGTCTTCTTGACTATTTTCTTTGCTGG